AAACTTTAGAATAATTTCAATGCTTCTACAATTTGAAATGCTTAAAATGACTGTGTATAGAAATGTCAAATTATTGAAAATGCACAGTGATTTTATTTTGTTTAAATTTATATTGTTTATTTGTTACAATTTTTAAGTTTTATTAAATGTAGAACAATATTGTATTTGGTTCTATGATCTATTGGAATGAAAATATTAAAAGGGAAAAGATCGAGTACGATAAGGCCCTTGCGCCGACTTGGTTTTATTGATGTGATTTATTACCTTATACGATAAGAGTACAGTGTGAAATGATTATGTTACATGTAAATGTTCCGTAGTGCTAAAAACGGACTCACGTCAATCTTTGTATCGATAATGCTACGAACATAAATGCTAAAAGTTTTGCTTGACAAAATACTTTTAAGATTTTTTTAATAACGCAAGTGAATTTAGGCTTCATTGGGAGGTTTCTATGCAAAATATCTAATTAAATTCCATAATTTCACTACCTTCCGCACAAAAATTGCTAAAACTGTCTCATTTTCTAATGCATCGTTGGTACCAACGACATGCGATAGCCAATACACATTATGACGTCTTATTATGACGTCATCAACCTCTACTACAAATGTTTAAAAGAAACATCAACAAAATCGCTTAGGTGCAAGGGCATGCCTTACTTTGTTTTACAGAAATAAGGTATAAAAAGACGCAGGGTTTGCGATGTTGCTGCCCAAATGTCGGCAATACTCTTGTTTAGTTACTATTCGTGCAGTTTAAAGTTTGATAAATAGAAGTAAAAATTCACAGTCCAGTGTAACTTTCCTAAAATTGTTATCGAATGAGAAAGTGCATATGATTTGTGCAGCAATTTTATTAATTTTAAGAATTTTCTCCTTCATATTATACAATGTTTATACATTTTAAACAAGATATGCCCTTGCGCCGACATGGTTTTATTGATGTGTTTTTTTTTTTTTTACCTGAAATGGAGAAAACAATGACGCTATATTTTCTTGCATAAATATACTGTGGATACTAAGTATGTATAAGAAAAAAAATCAATTTCAACTCTCTCTGTACATAAAATATACAACTTATGAATTTTTATTCGCTCATTTGCATAGAAACGTCCATATTTAACCTTAAATCACTTGCAAATATCAAACATTCCTTAAATGTTTTTACATAAGGATATGGAAATAACGAACAGTATTCAATCTCAACGTCCATTAAACAAATATACAAAACAAGAGCAGAGCAAACACGGACCTCCGAAACATCAGAGGTGGGATCAGGTGCCATGGAGGAGTGAGCATCCCCTGCTGACCGGTCACACCCGCCGTGTGCTCATTGTCATAATCAGGAAATAACGGAAAAAATCCGTAGTCAATTCAGTGTATAAATAATGGACTAACAATTGGTATGAAAAACGTCAGTCAGCATTTCATTCAATGATAAATTGTATTTGCTGACAAGGTCATTGTATCGACCATAGAATTTACGAAATGATGACTTTAAACGAGACTGTTGATATTCTTGTTTCATCAACTTGCTTGTCAATAATTTACCTCGTTTAAGAAATTGTTCATACGTAGAGCATGCTCTTGCGTATCGAATCAACTGAGATATAAATACTCCGTATGCAGGTGATGAAGGTATATTGCTGCATAAGTAAGGGAAGTTGACGATAGAAAAATTAAAGTCATCACGTTTATCATATAGCTTGGTTGTTAGATTACCATTTGTGTCTTTTTCAAGTAAAATATCCAAGTATGAAGCAGATGTGTTGGACTCGGTGGTATCTTTTATCTCAAGCTCACCAGGATATATCGTGTCGACGTAGGAATGGAAATTATCATTATTAATTGACAATACGTCGTCGATATATCTAAATGTCGAGTTGAAGGCCACAGCAAGTGTTTTTTTTCTTTTCACACAAAAGAGTTTGCATAAATTCTGCTTCATATGAATATAAAAATAAGTCTGCTAATAACGGAGCGCAATTTGTACCCATAAGAATTCCAATAGATTGTTGGAAAACCTGGTCTCCAAAAACCACATAGATATTGTCAATCAGAAACTCAAGCATCTTCTTGATGTCAACTTCAGAGTACTTATGTTAGAATTTGTTTTAACAAAATAATTTTTCAAATGACTTATTACGAGGTAAGTAAACTTACGAGTTCCATTTTTGTTGAAGAAGCAGCTGTCAATGATATCAAAAAGCCTGGATTTTAATTTGTCGTGCGGAATTGTTGTGTATAAAGTTGAAAAGTCGTAAGTTTTAATGCTGTTGATTTTTGTAAAGTCTTGTGATTTCAAATTGTCTAAAAGTTCTTTAGAATTTTTAAAGTATCCACATCTGATTTACACCACTTCTTGAATATATAGTTGTACAGTACTCTTGAAGTTTTTCCTTCACTACTGTCAATATTTTAGTGAGAAGTTACGAAAGAGGCTTGGTTGAACATTTACTGGAACCTGCAATGTATCTTTGTTTGTAAGGATTCTTATGAAGTTTCGGAATCCAATATATATGAGGTAGTTTATTGTGTGATTTGATATTGGCTTTATCCAACGAGTTGAAATGGTGTAAATACGAGGGCCGTTCAAAAATTACGCGGAATGCGCTATTATTCACTTTTGCAGAAGTCCCAGACTTATGAAATTTCACAGAAATACGTATTTTAAAGATTCCAATACATTTTGGGCAAAATATCTGTATTAAAAAAAATTCTACTTAAATTATCGGTATGTTGATATCGCTGAAGGAGAGGTACGGAGCACGACAAAAACAATGAAGCAAAAGCATGCGGAATTCTAAATTTAACTCATATATTTTCTATATTTATGTGTAATGCTCGATATATCGCCAACATAGATCCAAAATATGCATAATGAAAAATGTAGTAAACTAAGGTATTCGTGGCATTCGTCCACAAATAGGAAATAAGAATTTTAGACCGTTAGACCTCTGAAGAATGGCTATACGGGAGGACAGAAAAAAGATGATCGACGAAAACTTCATCCGTACTGTAAAGAACGTGATTTAGAGTCACAAATTTCACTTTATATCTCATAATACCTGCAGTTTTTGGTTTTAAAATAAAAAAGGATATTCTTTACTTGTCAAAAAAGGATATTCTTCACTTGTTCAATAAATTTAAAGCTTGATAAGAGTAAGTTCGACAGAAATTTAAAATTAACATTAGATATGCTACAGAATTTTGATTAACTGTTACTTGTTTTCCTAAGCACAGATTGATATCATAATATAATGATCTTTTCATAGTTATATATTTACATTTTATTGTCATATTTTCACGAAAACTGATTCCATATTGATATATACTTATATTATTTGATTTCCAATTTGTTTTAGATGTAAAATTACGTGTGACTTTGTATTTAAATAATAAAACACCCTGCGTGATGTTGTAGGACTATTATTATCTATTGTTATAGAGGGAGCTTAGTCAGGGCCCCATCCCTGACAGCTGCCCTACTTATCAGCTATTGTTATAGGTCTGGGAAATAAATGATGAAAAAAAAAAGATTGATAAGAAATTGTGTTTTGATGCTGAGTAGATAAGGTAAGTGAAACTGTACAGGTACTGTACAGTCCCCCGACCGATGTCCCTTACTGATGTACAATATAAGGTGCCCTCTGGTCCCCCTATTGATCTAAAGTCTAATATAAAGTGTCATCTGGTTTGCCAACTGAAGTACAATATAAAGTGACCTCTGGTCCCCCTTCTGATGAAGAAATAAGATGATTACTGGTCTGATTAATTGTATAGGATAACTTCTGTTTCCCCTTCTTATGTAAAGTGCATTATACGGTTTCCTCTGTTCCTATTGTTATTCAATTTAAGGTGACCTCTGGTCACCCTACTTATGTACAATATAAGGTGATCCCCGTTCCCTCTTTTGATGTACAATATTAGGTATGCTAAGGTCCCTATACTGATATACAATATAAGGTAGCCTCTGGTACCCCCAGTGATGTACAAAATATGGTGGCCTCTGGTCGCCATAAAGATGTACGTTATAAAGTTACCTCTGGTCCTATTAACTTTTCATTACTTCTGGTATTCGCATAAAGATTATGGAAACAAGTGTAAGTCTTATATTATCCATCAATAAGGATTTCTTACTTCACAAATTGTAGTATATGAATGAGGCATAGGTTATCTTATTATGTACATTATTATGATGCTATTGAAAGTTGCAAGTAGGTAATAATTTACAATCAAGGCATGTATCTTATTATGTACATTATTATGATGCTATTGAAAGTTGTAAGCAGGTAATAATTTAAAATCAAGGCATGTATAGAATAATTTTTTAAATCCTCTCAAAAAAGAATTGCGACCCTATTTTTTGCCGGGGAAAAAGTGCACAATTTTTCCGAATTCTCTTAATGTACATGTATGTAACTAGACTTTTGAAGATAAGTCAACTTGCTTGTCTTCAAATACAGTACGAGTATGCCAAAGTTAATAACAAGTGGTGCACTATCTTTGGGCTTTTTTAAATTACTCACTTTTCTTTCATGTTTATCATGAACTTTTTTTTACGCCAATACATGTAATCTGTCGCCCCTGTCAATCGGTAATACGAGATTCTGTTGTAGAGTCGCAGAGTAAAATGTTGATCAATTTCTAGCGGGTGCCAATCCATAACAGAATGAAGACCGATCCATTTGATTAGACAGAAAGCAAGGCGCAGCTGTAGTTGTTGGCATGAAAACATCTCTCTTTGCTCGTTTCCTCTGATTGTCTAGTATATACATAAATTTGCAGCTCTCCATTTTCAGTGAAATTTTTCGAAAGGGGCATTAACCAACAGTAAAAATATGAGATATCGAATAGTGTTCAATAACAAAGTCTATAAAACAATACAAAATAGGCGGAGAGCAAACAAGGGCCTCGGGTAAACAAATTTGTGAAAGATACTTTTTTAATGTTACATGTATTGACTATCCAAAAACTGCAAAAATCTTCCGAAAAATATTATATGTATGTAACAGGCGTTTCGCATATAAATCCAATAACATTCGATGAAGCGCTACTAGCTGCAAATCTGTTTTCTTGCACGTAACCAATTATTGTATATGCATTAATGTTATTGTAAATGATATCACTTCCGGTATATGGTAGAGGGTTACCATTATCATCTCTCCAGGGGTCAGCAGCGTTAATCCGGGAACCTTGAACTAGTGCAGCACCTAGGTTCAGAGCCTCTGAAATACACAAAGTTTTAATACTATAGTGAAACCTGTCTAATCCGACATGCACTGGGATACGAATTTTGTGTCGGAATAGACAGGGTGTCGGATTGTACAGTATTAAAAACAACGAAAATACTTAAAATGGGAAAGGAATTTAACGTCGGAATTCAGAGTGTGTCGGGTTATTCAGGTGTCGGATTAGACAGTTTACACTGTATTAGTATTAATTGGCAAACCTATTATTTATAAAGGACTTACGGCCCCCGAGGGGTCACCGTGAGACCATTTAAACTTATGATCATGTACTCTAACAATACTATCTATATAATCAAAAGAGTGTATTTCTATTTGTACATGGTTTAGAGATTACAATTACATATAGCGGATCAAATTAATATCAAACCTAAACCTAAATACAGAAAATAAGCCTAGAAAGCATTACCATTTCTCTCTTCACGATCTTTCAAACATATAAATTATGCAAACAAATATGTATTTCAGGGTCAAAGCATTAAAATTAAATATCTTTTTTGTTTTCTCAGATAAAACCTTTAAGGCATAAATTACATTAAAAATACGTAAACATACATGTACACAACTATGTATTTTGATGTAAAATTGTAGTCTATAACCAATAAGATGTACCAATAAATGGGTCTCTGAATGAACATAGCATACAAATTTGAAAAACAGATATACAATAAGCATGAAGAATTTTCCTTTGAAAGTTTATTGTCATATTGTTTGTTTTTTTTTTCAGTTATGTTTTACATTGAAATAAATACACATTAGGCAGTAGCAAAGGGCTGGAACAAGTTCTTTGCAACGGTTTCAAAATCAGAGGAGGGCATCATTCACCTCACCCCCCCCCCCCCAAAAAAAAAAAAATCTGAGAAGCCAAAAAATAAAAAAAAATTCTAAACTAGTTGTCCCTTACATTTGGGGTCGTAGAAAGAACACCCAATATTAATATGGCATTAACTGTTCAAGTCATGGAATTATTAACTATTGCCAGTGCTCGACATTTCAGCGGCAAAAATTGTGTTTTTATGTGTGTATGTTGGGGGGGGGGACCAGCATCTGAAGGAAAATTCGATATACCTGAACTCCAAATAAAATGAGGTGGATGGGGTCCTCAACCCCACCGCGTACTATGGATTCCTGGAAAATGAAACACTTATGAAATCATATATTATTAGTTACAAAGTTAGTTTCCTAGTACGGAGTCATACAGGGTGTAAAATGGAAATCCGTATTTGGCGTGCGTGGCGAAGCCGAGTCCCAATACAGATTTTACATTTTACACCCTGTTTGACTCTTTATTAGGTCACTAACTGACTGTGTTACGAATTTATCCCGCTGAAAACCTTTTTAAAAATAAAAAAAAAATCAATGTGCATATTATGAAAATATCAAGTTTTAATCCAATAACAACCAACATACCTATCGTAAAAAGAATTTTAAGTGAACTAGGCCTACTTTTCTTAGCTGCCATTCTTATTTACAATAAGAACGCTTCAAACGGAATCGTGTGCCCGATTTTCATATTACTCCTTGACGGCGATGTAATTCAGAAAATTTCAGGGCGTCATGTGATTAGCTTTGATCCAATCAGAAATCTTCAAATTTGTTTGAATTGGGATAATATTAAAATATTGATAAGACAATAAAGAAAGTTTCCCAGTTGCATTGAACTTGTAATTTCATTACAGAATACTCTGTAATCAATGCTAACTGAAATGTGTTTTTTTTGGAATTCAAGCTGATGTATGCACTATAATAATACATGTTGGACAAACAGTATTACATTGTTATCGATATGTAAATTTATAAAGCCCATGCAGAAATACGCATATACAAGCATATACAAGGGTTTTTCGAAAGTTTGTGGACTAGCACCATAACATTAAAACTGCTTTTGACACATTAATAAAGAGCAACAGCCATCTTATGCATAAAATGGCCCTGTACATCTGTCAATTAATTAACTATCACCCCCTTTCTCATTTGATATATCAAAATAAAGTAGACACTTTGTGCTTTCACTTTTATAAAAAGAAAATCTTTTTGAGAATCCAGATATTGGAAAACATGTTTGAGAAATTGGAATGTTCTTTTAAATTTGCAGAAAACATGCGTAGTAGACTACCTTCAGCAAAGAATTAAAATATGAGCACAGCCTACGATCCAAAAAGTTAAACATTTTTGTTGATCTTCAGAAAAAACCTTTATTATGTAACTGTATATTTTGGATCAGAGGTTGTGCTATATTTGAAATTTTGAAAAACTTTTTTTTAACTTTAGGTCATTTTCAAAGGAATTTTTAGGATATGAGCAAAATGACAAATTTTATGACGTCATACTAGTAATACATTGGATAGATGGGAAATTACGTCACAATTAAAAGATACTTGGTCACCAACACTCCAAGTGACAGATACTACATTTGCTACCTAATCTGAGCGGTGGCTCTTGCTCTTTTAATATTAAATAATAAACTAAACATGTAACATGATTTTCATTTTTTTAATGATGATTATGATAATGATGAGTTTGAAGGAAATGGTATGTCCAGGCGGAGCAACATCGAAAATTACGTTTTGTTTTACTATCAAAGTCAGTGTAACTGAGAAAAACTCTTTCTTTTGATATGGGCACCTGTTATTATCAATTGCGTTAATTCACTCATGTGGTATGAAACATATGTACCGTAAAATTTGCAATTTTACCCTATTCTGTAAGTTCTATGAAAATTCATATTTAAATTAATTCAAATTTATTATTTAAATTTGTTTAAAATATCCAGAAAATTCAGAGTTGTAATTACATATACATTAGACATAAGTAATGACTTGGAAGATTTTATAAATTTAAGGTTCAAGATATTTCTAATGCATCAAGAATTCCTGTGCATCCACATTTTGCATATTTTGAACATAAATCTTCAGCTGGAAATTCAAACTGTATGAAGCGGAAAAAAGTTTCATAGCATTTTATTAAAAGTATTATATCATATATAATTATATTGTAATTGTATATCATTTCTAATAGATGTGTTACTTATTTTACCCATAAAATAATCATTTTAGAAATGAGGTTTCTAAGTTTCTAATGAACTATTATAAAAGTTATGTAAAATGTTGAAAGCACTGAATGTATTTTGATTGAAATTAAATAAAACTGGAGTAGTAATAAAGTATAGGAATTCAACAATTGCAAAAAAAAAAAATTAACAGCATAAAAACATCAGTGCAAGTACATGTTGACTATCCATATACATGTAAGTAGTCAATACATACACACTGTACATGTAACTAAGAACAGTTGCATTAAATTATACATCTCTATGTAAAATAAAATATTGCCATGAAATGGTTTGGTTTTATTTAATTACTCGTGTTGCACGATATAGTTTATTAAAAATCCCATCTAAACGTTATGTACTTGTATTTAAAGTTTGTCCTCCCCGTTTCTAACGGCACAACATAAAAATGGAGTACAATTTTAAAAATTCCTTCAACTATGCATATCAGGAGTTTTCGTATGTACTAGTTTATTACAACATCCCAGGTACAAAATGGTCCCTAAATGTTTGATGCTCCTTTCTCCTTTCTCTTAAATTCAGTCTCTTTCCGATTGCAGCGTCAAAATCTTGTTTAACACGGCAGTGACAGTTCCCTACTTAAGTCTTTAGCATTTTAAGTAAATGTCATGAGTCTTTATTAAAAAAAGGTCCCGTCCTGCGTTAGGTATTGGTCAGTAATGCAACTTGACCTTGAGTGGATGAACTCTTTATCTTGTTGAAAAATTCTTAAATGGGGTAAGGTAACATTCAATTATAAATCACATACAGTAAAACTCGTTTAGTACAAACACGGATATAGCGAAGTCATTTTGAATCCCCAGCTATATAAATTTAATGGATTTCTTATACGGTTATAACGAATTACGGATATAGCGAAGTGATTTCATAGGTCCCAACAACTTCGTTATAACCGAGTTTTGTATTACATTTAGGAATCCCTCTATATCTTACGAGTTTATTTTCTAAGACAGTACTGCTGTTCTTCAAAAATATATCGATGTTATCAAAGAAGCGTGATGAATAGACTGAGTCCTCTCAATTAAGACCAATGCAGTTAACAAAATATGGATCACATGTTTCGTACGGACGTGTCCATATAAAAATTATATGTGTAACCATAGGAAAAAAAAGTTTAAAACACAAATAGGAAATGCATTTTACAAAATGGCTTTTATCATTTCTAGTACATATACAGTACTGATAAGGAAAAACAAAGAATATTTGCAATGCTCATAACGGAGTTCAAAGATAAGCACGAGGATAAGGAGATAACGAACAGTATTCAGTCTAAAAGTTCATAAAGCAATACAAAATAAAAGCAGAGCAAACATGGAAACCCGAAACATCAAAGGTGGGATCGGGTGCCATGGAGGAATGAACATCCCCTGCCGATTAACTAAATCATCATTATAAATATAAAGGATAACTCATATTAACACCTTATAGCCTATAAAAAAGATTTCATTTCTCAGGTTTTATCAGACATTTTAAAGAAACATCTCCACTTGTAATTTCATGACATCTAGTCTTCTCAGCCCTTTAATTTTAGATTTTTTAAGTAAAATTCTAATTTATTTTTAGTTAATATGCATAGCTGATCTTAATCCTAGTAATTCAACAGAATCGTGTACTTTAACCAAAAGTTCATAAAAAATATCTACGTAAGCTGATATCCTTCATTGTGAGTCGTTACCTTTTCCTGCAATATCGTAAAAATGAAGATAAACGTTTTTATTCGGATGTCTTAACCACCTTTTACCAAATTAATAATTTGATAATCACTTTTTATGCTAATTAGAAGTTTACGTGCAAATTTTGGTTTTGGTTAAAGGTGGTTATGACATGCGTAGGAGTTATATAACACAGCCACCCTCTTGAGTTTTCCCATTACTGTGATGCTAATACGGACCAATGGTTCCTTACTTTGTGATCATAAATAATTAAAAATTCAAATATCTGTTTCTCATTTACAATAATTTTTTACATTTTTTTTTACACGTTATTTACCATTTTTCTTTTCAAATAGATGATATATAAAGTGTTCACCTGTGTAGAAATCAATCAAAAGACACTCAAAAACATAACTCGTATGAGAAAAGTAAGATATATTAAAAATCAATTAAATTTTTTTTTTAAAAATAAGTTGACCCATCTGCACATTTTATACTGAATGAAAGTTATTGATTTAAAATAGAAAGAAAAAGTATTATGGATATTTTAATTACGCGAACATTTTACACATTCACATTTAGTTTTGTTCTATGAATTTAATATATAATCAAAAGGGAAAATTAAGGTAACTGGTCCATCAACTTAGTTGATGGCATAATTACCGAATATTTCTTATTACCTAAAATATTAAAAAATTATATTGATTTAGGAGTTCAAAAGAAATATTTTAAAAATAAAAACAAATTATCATGGTAATTGAGTAACTGAAATATTCATGAAAATTTTGACAGTACAAGAAGATAAATAAGTTTTAAGACTATATTCTAAGTCTAAGTCTGTATCCTCGCTTGATTTTTACCACCTTCCTATTTACCTAAATAATAATTGTATATTTCGTGATTTTTTGCATATCATATACAAGTATGTACATGCATAAGTTTTATATTGTAATGTATACGTACATGTACAAAAAACTATTTATTATCTCTTTTTAGTAAAACACTTGCCACTTATTTCAAGTTGTGTACAGACAAAGATGTTGCACCTACTCATGAACAGACGAAGATCTAAGCTTGAATTTAGTCTTGAATAAGTCAGCGAATTGTAACAAACGCTAATGATAAAACGCCAAATAATGATAGAAATATAATTAAGCGTTGCATTTGGCGGATGAGCATGTCAGTGATTTATACAATAGTTTATTACATTAAGCGTGGTATTGCAACGCTTTATGATATTTCTATCATTAAGCGGCGTTTTATTATTGGCGGTTGCTACAGCGCCTTTTTGTGAAACGCTAGGTACATAATCCGATTTTGGGGTTTAGTCACTGACTTAGTCCGGACTAAGTTTACGCCTGGTAGTAGGCCTTTTTGACAAACGAGCCCCTGGTCTCACAAAATTAATTTTGAAAGGTGTTTATTATAACTTTTATGCAACTTTTTTCATAAAAATCAAGCAAACCGAGTGATCTTATGAGTTTTTCTTCAAAAATAAAAGTTCTATCTCCATGAGCTTTTTCAATCGATCTAAAATGCATAAAAATATTCGAAAGAATGTTCTATCTCCATTTTTGTATATTTTTTCCTAATTCTGTTCAAATTGATATAACATTAAGTTTATTATCCCTTAGATAAGCATTTTTTCAGTAAAAATGCCTTATTTTATAGTCCAAAAAAGTGATTCTTTATTTATGACATACTGATAGGCACATAATATAGTTAAGTTGTAAAAATTATCCACATTAACAATTAACAATTATTTATATGCTTTTTGTTTAGACCTTTGGCATACATTAAGTGTCTGCCGTTAATTATTAACATAATGACAGATTATCATATGAGACATTAATTTTACATTTTCCCTAGACCCTGGTCGGTTCGGAGAAGTTTCACTGTATGTGACTATGTGTGGTTGTATGTTTTATCACATTACTACATTCTTAGATGAATTCAATGTGTACATACTCCTTGCTATCCTGGTGAGCTTGAAATAAAAGATACCACAGAGTCCGACACTTTTGCTTCATACTTGGATATTTTACTTGAAAAAGACACTAATGGTAATCTAACAACCAAGCTATATGATAAACGTGATGACTTTAACTTTTCTATCGTCAACTTCCCTTACTTATGCAGCAATATACCTTCATCACCTGCATACGGAGTATTTATATCTCAGTTGATTCGATACGCAAGAGCATGCTCTACGTATGAACAATTTCTTAAACGAGGTAAATTATTGACAAGCAAGTTGATGAAACAAGAATATCAACAATCTCGTTTAAAGTCATCATTTCGTAAATTCTATGGTCGATACAATGACCTTGTCAGCAAATACAATTTATCATTGAATGAAATGCTGACTGACGTTTTTCATACCAATTGTTAGTCCATTATTTATACACTGAATTGACCACGGATTTTTTCCGTTATATTCTGATTATGACAACGAGCACACGGCGGGTGTGACCGGTCAGCAGGGGATGCTCACTCCTCCATGGCACCTGATCCCACCTCTGATGTTTCGGAGGTCCGTGTTTGCTCTGCTCTTATTTTGTATATTTGTTTAATGGACGTTGAGATTGAATACTGTTCGTTATTTCCATATCCTTATTAGTCGATTTCAATGAGTTCTTGAATAAAAAAAATAAGGAGTTAGTTTTTTTACAAAAAAATTCTTACTCATTTCCTCAGTAAGTACGTCCCCTTCAGCTGCTGAATTAACTAACAATAAACTGCCACCATCGTTAATGCACTCTTGTTTGGCAGCGGCTGGAGAAATGAGTCTCTTTACAACAAGAAAACAACCCGCTGATGGGTCGAATTTATATCCAGATGCAGTACAAGTAGGTTCTCTGGAAGTGCTTGAATGAATCGAATGTAAATATGGATTGAAATCATTATAAAGTACATAGAATTGTTAAATAGTTTTGATATTGTGAATAATTCGGTTTATCATTTGACATAACATTGTGAAATTGGTGATTTGTCATTGACATATAGTTGTGAATATGTAGTTTAGCATTGTTATGACATTGTGAATTCTGTGATTCTCTGTGGTGACCGGTCCTACAGATTAGACTGTTGTACCGAGGTCATTTCTCTCAGTAGGTTTTTGCACGAAAACGATCACTCACTGTTCCCTTGAAACATTGTAAATTGTAGTCATTTGCTTCTAATGCTTGACAATCACATTTTGTTTCATATAAAGAGTAATGTCTAAAAAAGTGCAAGAATCTACAGCAAAATTAGGTTTAGCGGTCCTCAACCATGCTAGCCAAGAGTGCCAAAGTGTGTTGAAGACGTTCCTGTTGCAGTTAAAAAGCGAAAACGTAGGTATCTATTGCTTTAAAACTTATTGCAAAAAGCAATGCTTATGCATTATACACAACTTTATACACAACAATTCCGCACGACAAATTAAAATCCAGGCTTTTTGATATCATTGACAGCTGCTTCTTCAACAAAAATGGAACTCGTAAGTTTACTTACCTCGTCATTGGTCATTTGAAAATTATTTTGTTAAAACAAATTCTGATTGTACACATAAGTACTCTGAAGTTGACATCAAGAAGATGCTTGAGTTTCTGATTGACAATATCTATGTGGTTTTTGGAGACCAGGTATTCCAACAATCTATTGGAATTCCCATGGGTACAAATTGCGCTCCGTTATTAGCAGACTTATTTTTATATTCATATGAAGCAGAATTTATGCAAAATCTTTTGCGTGAAAAGAAAAAAACACTTGCTGTGGCCTTCAACTCGACATTTAGATATATCGACGACGTATTGTCAATTAATAATGATAACTTCCATTCCTACGTCGACACGATATATCCTGGTGAGCTTGAGATAAAAGATACCACAGAGTCCAACACATCTGCTTCATACTTGGATATTTTACTTGAAAAAGACACAAATGGTAATCTAACAACCAAGCTATATGATAAACGTGATGACTTTAACTTTTCTATCGTCAACTTCCCTTACTTATGCAGCAATATACCTTCATCACCTGCATACGGAGTATTTATATCTCAGTTGATTCGATACGCAAGAGCATGCTCTACGTATGAACAATTTCTTAAACGAGGTAAATTATTGACAAGCAAGTTGATGAAACAAGAATATCAACAGTCTCGTTTAAAGTCATCATTTCGTAAATTCTATGGTCGATACAATGACCTTGTCAGCAAATACAATTTATCATTGAATGAAATGCTGACTGACGTTATTCATACCAATTGTTAGTCCATTATTTATACACTGAATTGACTACGGATTTTTTCCGTTATTTCCTGATTATGACAATGAGCACACGGCGGGTGTGACCGGTCAGCAGGGGATGCTCACTCCTCCATGGCACCTGATCCCACCTCTGATGTTTCGGAGGTCCGTGTTTGCTCTGCTCTTGTTTTGTATATTTGTTTAATGGACGTTGAGATTGAATACTGTTCGTTATTTCCATATCCTTATAATTTCAAAAGTTTATAAATACATATTATACTCTCACATCGCAAACTCAAACAAAGCATGTTACATGTACGTAACATTAGGTCTAAGGGGTCTCAGAATGGGAGCAGACGACAACATTCCTATTATATTTTTTATTTCAACTTAAGCTCTTAGTATAAGACAAATTTCCTTTGATAATGTAAATGCAGAATATCTTTCCCAAATTTATAGACATACTTAAGAAAATAAAAAGATAAAATCTATAATTATTAGCTGTTTACATTTGGTAAGAAACTAGGTCACTTCATTCTCAGACGGCCTATACGGGTTAAAAAATAGAATATCATTGAACATTTAGAAATAATTTGAGTCTTAACTACAGGCTTGGGCTCATTAAAACAAAGTCGGATAGACATAATAATGATTTTACATTTTTTGAACATTGATATTATGCTATTTATAGTAAATTATAATCTTTTTCTGAAATAAATTTTACAGGAAAGTCACAAATGAAGAACTTTAGAAGAGAGCAAGGTTTAAGAACAACTAAAATCAGATAGAGAAAACCATTCAAAGCGGATTTAGAAAGTGGGACTGGATATGACATATACGATACGATAAAGTTTCCTCCCTGCTCAAAGACCGTAAGTGGCGAACATATGCCTAAATTTGCAGCCCTTCTCCAGCAATGGTGATGTCTCCATATTAGTGAAATATTCTCGAGACGAACGTTAAACAGTATAAAATCAACTAATCAATTAATCAATGTCTAAAAAGTGGAAAAAAATTTTATTAGTAATATTGAGCAATAGATGTCCAAAATAATGTTCTAAACAATATGCAACATTTCATTTTTCGCTAAACGTCCCATTAAGGAGTTGAAGGATAGGCCTCTTAACATTTCCTTTGCAAATAACTCAAAAACTAAAGAGAATCTTTAAATAGTTTTTGAACAAAAAGTATTTTAAATTTTTAGAGGTTTAAGATAAAATGCAGAAAAAAAGGAATAAGACACTCAAATTAAGGGCCGAGAGGGGCCAAAAGTCTTCAATCGAGAACACATTAGCAGACAATACTTTTTTATACATTACTGAAGCAAAAATGTTTATCTCAACAATCTACAACTATATATTTTAATGATTTTAATTTCGTATGGTACATTATAAGGGGTCAAAATGATTAATTTTTTACGCTTTTTTTTCTAAAAAAAAATGGAAAATATTTTGATAAGTAAAATGACCAAATGATGTTCAAAATAATGTTCTGAACAATATGCAACCTTTTATTTTTGATAAATGTCCCCATTAAGGAGTTGAAGGGTTGGTTCCTAAATATTTTTTTTTTGCAAATAACTCGAAAACAAAAAAAAAAATCTCTTAACAGTTGTTGAATAAAAAGTTTTAAAAAATCCTATGAGTCTTAAAATGAAATCAAGAAAAAGGGGCCGGGCACTTAAATTAGGGGCCAAGAGAGGCCAAAAGTCATCAATCTCTAACTCTTTAAAAGTCAAAATTATGTAAAAGATTACTGAAGCAAAGGTGTTTATCTCAACCATTTACAACTATATCTGATGATTTTCATGTTAGGGGCCACAAGATTCCAGAATGCTCAATCTTTGACACTTTATATTTCGAAAGTGAGAAAAAATTTGAAAAGGATTCAGTTAAAGAACAACAAGATCATTAAAAAAATATCTTGGGTTATGGTAAAAGTTAAAGCAAAAAAAAAAAATCAGTATAAAACGATATCTTGAGTCGTATCACGTCGAGTTAACAGGCGCAGCTCATCAGATTTCACGAGACGCGAAGCGTCAAGTGTGATCTGATGATCTGCCCCTGTCAACGAGACGTGATACGGCTCTTCGGATCAAGTTACTGTTATATTGATAAATTTATTATAAACCCACTCATAACTAGCTAAATGTAGCCGAATAAAACTTTAGAGATCAATTGTATAATATTTATTCATAAAACAAAGCATAATAACAAGGGACTTTTTAACGCGCAAGAAAAATAACGTCATGTTTTTGCGTACTACGTCATCAGTGTCAGAGAGGGGTGATATGGATTCAGAAAACCACAGTGTGTGGTGATCCGGAAAATCGGATCAAACTCTGTAAAATTAACAGTAATAAAAACAAGGAAATTGATGGGTATTTAATAAAATAGATTACTACCTAAGTTAGGGTAGGAGTTGAATAAAAATCGGTATTTAACGATACCTCGGTTTAGGGTGAGGTATTTAATACCAAATTGGTATAAAACAATACCTTGGATTTGGGTAAGAATTGAATAACAAATCGGTATAAAACAATGCCTATGGATAGGGTTAGGGTTAAAACAACAAACCATCATAAGACGATACATCGGGTTAGCGTAAAGATTGAATACTAAATCAATATAAAACGACATCTTTCGATAGGGTTAGAGCTAGAACAACAAATCATTACTCGTTAGTAGTGAAATAGCGACATCTTAAGAGGAAATGTAACTCTCGTCCTAATTTCCCGTATATTTGCAGTATTCACGGTAACAACAAGATATCTTTTTAACTATACCTTGTAGTTCTTCTAGGAATTGTTGCCAGCAAGGCACCAGAAGTTAGCAGAGCAATCCACTCAGGTGTAAGAAACTTATATTCCACTGTGAAGAAAAATAATATATAATTTAATGTTATTTGTTATAAAATGGGTAATACACTGTATCGGAACGTTAGTGATTAGGATGTATCAAAGTCAAATATTTGTCATTTCCTTTTATGGTTTGATATTCTGTTTTTACATGTAAATATTTGTAATTCGTTCTATCCAAGTGTAAATTCAAATGTTATTATTATTATCTAAAAGATATGTGACAAGAAATGTTTGATTCATACTTGTTGTTTCATTCTTACTCGAGCAAGAAAAAGCATTATAATTTAATTTCTATCTTGGAAATTTCTTCGCCCCAGCATAAAATAATTTGTGTTAGGATAATAAAGGCATTTGACTTGCTAGGAATTTAATTATTCATTGACGAATTGTTTTAGTGAAGGAATGGATATTGTTATAAATGATGCTTGTTAATGAGCCCAGTAAAGATAATCTAGGAAAGATATGTGTCCTACTATGTATATTTTGTTAATTGAATATCATTGCAAAAGGAATATTTTTAAAATTCTTAAAAAGCCCGTAACTAGATATTTTATGGAAGAAATTCAGATGTAACATCTCAAGGAACAGGAAAACAATAAAACTTTTTATATGAAATAGAATATTCCGATATCGGAAACGACTTGCACACTTATTTCAAAGCAGACTGCACAGCTGGTGTAAATCATATAAAGATATCATAATGAAAGAAGGACAAAAATTGTTGAGCTGAAAAACCTGACGGTCCAGTTTATATGCTTACAATCACAGTAATAATGGCAACTGTATGCATTGTTTAACTTTGAAAGCGTTGTTGCCTAGATACTTTATCGTATCACTACAATAGGTCTAAATGTGGTTGATAGTACTGTAGTATGTGTGGAATTACTGACATTGTTTCCACGGGAAACGAATACGATAGAGAAGCCTTTGATGACTGTTGATATCAACTCAAGAGAATTTCTTGGTAAGTAAAATAAATAGAAACATGACATACAATCAAACTTCTGAAATAACAATATTGCTTTTCAGCAGGTCCAATATAATCACTAGATTAGAAATAACGAACAGTATTCAATCTCAACGTCCATTAAACAAATATACAAAATAAGAGCAGAGCAAACACGGACCTCCGAAACATCAGAGGTGGGATCAGGTGCCATGGAGGAGTGAGCATCCCCTGCCGACCGGTCACACCCGCCGTGTGCTCGTTGTCATAATCAGGATATAACGGAAAAAATCTGTGGTCAATTCAGTGTATAAATAATGGACTAACAATTGGTATGAAAAACGTCAGTCAGCATTTCATTCAACGATAAATTGTATTTGCTGACAAAGTCATTGTATCGACCATAGAATTTACAAAAATTACCTAGGAAGCTTTATTTACCTACCTCAGCAGACACTTTAATTATCTATTTCAATCCATCTTTCCAAATTTGCCTTTTCATTAAAAAAAACAAAAATTTGCTAGTAAATGACTATTAATATTTATACTAGGGTTGTTTAAAAACCAATCCAAAGCAGAGATAGTTTAAACATCGAGGCGTTTGAATACATTAGAACAAAACATGTAATTCCATGGTTTGGGTAACTGTTTCCTATTTAGTGTGCGGTGAGGCACATTATTTTATTCAAGGAGAAACTGTTTTACATGTATATATCTCCAAAACTTTCAAAGTCTTAGTTGCAATTACGCAGAAAAAGACATTTCATCAGGATATATTTTGTCATAAATTGTTTTCAGATGAGTTCAAAGTTTAAAATGATCACTGAATCAAAATGAGATTTTCTGAACATCCGGAAGAATATTATTTTTTAAGTTCTACAAGTTATACATGCATGTTTGTTTATGTAATTAATCTTGTAAAATGTATATATTTTTAAGTGCGTGCAAAATGTTTGTTTTTTGTTTATTTTTCTGCTGATTTACCCCTTATTTGTAAAACTTATTTTTCGTAATTTACTATTGAATAAATGACATTTTCATTCTCACAGATATTTGTCCTGTTGTAATTGAAATGTAATTCTGACCAAAACAAAGCTGCGGTGAAATGTTTGTATCTAGAAAATAGTAAGAGACATAAAATAGTTTAAGTCGTGGATATCGGCCTGAATAGCCCAGTTGGATGAGCACCTGACTAGTGATGTAGGGGTCCCGGGTTTGATTCAAGGTCCAGCCATACATTTTCCCTTTTCTAGTTACACAATATATGTTCAATGAAATTCTATATTGAGGATATAGACATTTTGAGAAATATATTTTGATATGTTCTGTAATAATAATAATATTGTTACATTTTATATAACGGATGAATTCTTCAAATACAGGTGTACACGATATATACAAGCATATGTGAGGTGCCGACCATTTATTCATGCTGATAATGATAAGAATCGCTCAAGATGAAACTGATGAACTATGATACTACCTGTCTTGTCAATTTCATATAATCTCATGTTTAAATTGGTAACTGACAACTCCACATACAGATTTGTTTTTCTTTTTTTTTTCATGTTTAATCTATACTGTGCATGTAAGTGTTATGTCTGGATTGGTAATTAAAAGATCCTTCCACATGTAGTGTTTTTTTTTTATTTTTCATCATTTTATGTACTTCATGTATGTAAGTGATTTGATTATATGAGGAGCAATATAAGGCTGTTTAAGATTATTCTTTTTTTAAAAATGTATGCATAATGTACTGTCCAAGTGTCATGTCGGGTTCGGTAATAGGCCACTCATCAGATATATGTGCAGGTACCTACTCTCTACTATGCATAGTCTACCATTTGAGTATTTTTAGGGCCGAAAACTGTCTGATATTTTTAGGTTAATTAATAAGCGATTTTGATGTGTACTAGTAATATATGTATGTCTCAGGTCAAGGACACTGATACAATGTTTACTAAAACACAGCTCATTTCAAGTGGGTTTTTTTCTCTCTTTAGTGTGCACCCACCAATCAAAAACTACATACCTACCTTTCGTCAAAAACACACAAACCAAAAAGTAAAAAGCAGACTGTATATAATAATTAAAATTGTGTAATTTGGAGTATTCTATTTCATTTATCGGCTTTTCTGGTAAAATAATCCATTCCTCAGTAAAATCAAAATACTAGAAGCTTGAAACACGCTTTTTATGAGATATTGAACATAATATTTTTAGAACTCAGATATTTCAACCAAAATAATCAAGTTTGTGGGGTCCTGATTTTGTTTTCTTGTTTTATTTATCAGATACCCGCTGCCACAACAATATATACATATACTTACAAACATACGGCACGAGGAGAGTAGCACCAATCACCGAACCAAGCAATAACTGTCTGTTGGTTACTACAGCTGACATAACAATCACCTGATTTGTTACAAATAGGGATAAAATGACAGATATTGTCAACGTTGATTTCATGGCTCACCTGTCAAAATTAATTTTTTTGTAATGTAATGTACATAAATGAAATTTTCAATTTTTAGAACAATTGTTTCTTTACGTTCATTCTGCGTACAGAATTTCAGAAATATTTTAACCCCTTTTTATTCTTTTTCTTACAAATTAGATCTTATTCAACTGACTAATTGTGATTTAGTCCCTTAAAACGGATTTGTCTAAAACAGTTCGTACAGTTTAAAATCGTTTGCAATAATATTAGAGAAAAAATAATTTATACTGTAATATAGGATTATTGTCATAAATAAATTCTTTTCTAAAAGTCTGCAAACACTGTAAAAGCCACGCCAGTACTTTTTTGCTTTAATGTATTGTTAACAGGAGAATGTAACCACTGATTTTACTATAATGCAACACTAATTTTCAAGGATAATTTACTTCTGTATAGCTATAGTGTAGTGTTTTGTAAAAAAAAATTATTTTTTTCTTAGACAAATATCACTTAAATACTTAAACCTTATCCTCTTCTTTTAATACAAAAACGAAGCTTTAAAGTTAAGATTTCGTAAAACAAGTGAACACAATTGACAGATTGGTTTACATTTTTTTAATTTTTCACCGTCCCATAAAGATATGTTTACTCATGAAAAAAAGCCACCATATGTACCGTTAAATGGTTTCAAAATTAGATTTTTAGTCTGCACTCAAGAACTTCAAATTCAGAGAATTAGTCGTTTTATTGCCTCTTTAGACGCGGATTTCAGTTTTTAAAGACCAACAATTTTAACTTTCTATTAAAAAGATCCTTGAATAAAGAAACGTATTATTTTTATCGACTTATGTCAGTCGGGCGGGATCGTCCTCCTTACACAAATATAAACTTACATTCAATAAAAATGAAATCTATCTGACTCGGTTTTCATATTAAATATTTTGATATACAAATGATATATATATAAAACCATTTATTTTTTTTAAAAATGTCATTGACCACGATCGTTTTAGACAACTCCTTTTTTACTTAAATTATTACTGTTTTGATGTTGAAGTCATTTAAAAATAGTTTTGGCGCGGGAAAGGGTCAATTGAAGAACATTTTAATCTAGACAGAGTATTAGGATAATAAGAGGGACTGACGTAAATTAGCAGTAATCAAGTCTCTCAAATAAATTTAGAGTCTGTAACCTGGTTCACACAGTCTTCTTATACCCATATACAGTGTAGCGGTGTATTTTGGCTAATTGTGGTTTATCTGAGCAATTTGACTGAAGTGCGTTAAAATTTTAACCGCTCAAATAGTCAGTACAGGTTTTAGAATTCATCCGTGAAGATCTGATACCTTGTGTCTGCAACAAAAATTAGGCCAAAATTATTTGCAAACCTTTGAGCAGGCTAAACGCCAAATTCTACAACCGACAAAAAAGACCTCTATACGGTATTTCTACGATAATGCAATAGATTTTTTTTTGGTTCTGTGGTTCCATGTAAAAACCTATATTTTACAAACTTAAATTCTCCTTTTTTTAATGATCAAAATCATACAAAATGCTAAATTTATATTGAGACAATATAACCCAAAACGACTTACCATTCAAAACTGTAAATGAAAGTCAAATGTGTTCCCCAAGCTAACTGCTTAACAGCAGGTTCTCTGATATAATATAAAGCAATAATCTGTACCAATGTTTGATGAATGAGTTCCCGATATTGACCATCGTTTTATAACCGATACATAACCAAAATAATGACCAGTATACACCAATAGAGACAAATGTTCTCTTATTCTGCTTACTGTAAATAGGGTTATTCTCGCCCCGTGATATTTTCTCCATTTCATACTTTCAGACATATTTGCCCAGTTTTAAATTCGCCAATTCATAGTTTTGTTTATGAAATTATATATATATATATTTTTAATTCCTCCGTTTTAAATTTGCCCTAATGAGGGAGAGCCAAAAATTAAACGGGGGCGAAAATTTCCCTCTAAACAGCATCACATTATTTTGAGGTATGTGTATAAAATGAAATAAAAGTTATGTGAATTAAAAAGCAAGGTTTTGTTTTCAGGTGAGATTTACATGTACAACGTCAGGACTTTTGACGTCATATATACACATGCATTTCGTAAGGGTATGACGTTAACACTATTTAAATGAAGGAATTACTAGTTCAGTTTTGGGGGATTATCCGCTAAAATAAACCATAATTAAGAATTTGGGGATAATTATCATAGGACTGTTGAAAAGTTTTGAATAATGAGATAAATAGCTAGCTAATTTTTGCTTTGATTAAAAAGGGTTTAAATACTGCATGTAATTTTGTCCTGTTAAATCAAAGGCAACTTTTTAAAATGAAAGATTATGGAATGTCACTCGTGAAATTTGTTAAATCAAGGATTTTTTGAGAATTATATTTTGGATAAGTACTCATATAGAGTGACTCAAAATCGCGAGGAAAATAGGGATGAGTGTTCATCTTACTGATCTACGGTACAATACATTTTTGGTTAATAACATTAATCTTTATCACATTTTATCAGATGTAACCATGACAATAAATATGAATGTATTTAACGTAATTTTTAAAATGTTTTGAATAATATTTAACCTTGAGCAAATCTGGCAAATTAGAGTGCGTTAATAATTGTGTGACCTTTTTGCACTAAAAAGCAACATATTTGGGGTATTAAAAACCCAAATAGGCAATTCAAATTGTCTTAAATCAAGCTTTTAACGACTTCAGTGCTGATCAGTAACAAGTATTATGTATTTTAAAATACTGAAGGAAAAAGTTAGGGTCAGTGACGTTAATTTTGAAATATTGATCAAAATATTGAATTTTCAGGCAAAAAAAAGTCTTAGATTTATCTTGACTTAGATGACAATTCTTCATTTTTTAGCAAAGTTTGCTGAGGGAAGGTGTTAAACTTTTAAAAAAATAAATCAAGACTTATATCAAATATTCCTACCGGGACAATATCATGTAAGAAAATATCCTCCGAGTAAACGTACAATGTATGTCAGGCTAAATTTCCAAAATATTAAATTAAATAAATATTCGGATTTGCAGAGTATCTGCTTAATATCCTTCCACCACAAGAAATAGTCCCTCATAAATCTTCCTACTTTTAAAACAATTCCACATCCCTGTATCTGTTTATCTTTATGTAAACGTACGTAATAACAATACCCCCCCCTTCATTCCCCCTTTGAAAAAATATTCTAGATCAGAGTCAGAATTTCATTCAAGTATTTACAAGCTAGAAATCATGTAAGGCAGTATAAAGATTTTTGTTCAAAATATATTATAATTAGAAAAAATTAAAACGAAAATAGTGTACAGCTTTCAAATGGACACAGCCAATTGGAAAAGGTGAATTTACAGATAATTGAAACAGAACTGTTAATAATTTAATTATGTCATCGAGTAAAATTTAAGTGATTCATCTTAAATGAAAAATCAATATTTTGAAAGAGCACCATCTAAAATAATAAGAGTCTTTATGACGTTACAATTGACGTATATGCATTACTTTTAACGTCATCATGTACGAAATGAAATGTAACTTATTTACGATTTTTTTTCGAGTTTTGAATTCAAATTATATAAATAGAGAAAATCATGCCTCTCAAAAGTGTCGTTTCAAACGGACTACTGACTATGGTCTTAATATATTGTTTGTAATTTTCATATAATTATTGTTATATCAACAAAATATTACCGAATAATTAACAAAACTGGTGAATCTTTGCGACATCAAAATTCTAATGTGAAGTCATATTTTATATTGGCCACATGTATTGACTGAATTGACTACGGATTTTTTCCGTTATTTCCTGATTATGACAATGAGCACACGGCGGGTGTGACCGGTCAGCAGGGGATGCTCACTCCTCCATGGCACCTGATCCCACCTCTGATGTTTCGGAGGTCCGTGTTTGCTCTGCTCTTGTTTTGTATATTTGTTTAATGGACGTTGAGATTGAATACTGTTCGTTATTTCCATATCCTTATGTATGAACAACGATTATATCAAGCATATAGATTCCTATCAGCAATATTTAAACATATGGTACATGTGAGTATGATAGTTGTTTTAGACTGTGGTGAGACTTACTTTTGGGAAATTCTGTTGAAAAATCGGCATTTTTGAACGTTTTCATGAAACTCTTGCATCTTCAAACCATTAAAAGTGCCTAGCTGCGCATTATTTAACAAAATGAGTTACGTAAGGGAAAAAAAACTGTCCTCTAATAATTAACGTATAATACCTGCCATGAAAAGAAACTCTTTTTTGTGAAAAAATAGGGCCAAATATGATGAATCGTGGCTTTAGCTCTTTGCTTTCAGAACACAAACTTATCAATTTATATCTTTAAGCGTGTCCCAATAAGTTAAGAAGTTTTGATCTTGATTTTTTTTAGCAGATTTTTGTCTAGATTCTGTCTAGAATTCTATATCATACTGTGCTTCTTTGGAAAAAAATGGATTCTACAATGCAAATTAATCTATACTCTTTCATATAAGCACGATCAAAATAATAAAAAAACAAGGTAAAAAGGTCAATGTAATTGGTATCAAATGAAAACTTGCAACATAGAATACTTATGGAGAGTACGGAAGCAATAGCCCTTAAATTTCAGAAGTTTTTGCCAAGGCTAAACATTTTTAAAAGTGGGTCAAACGCGAAGGTCAAGGTCATAGGGTCAAAGTTCTTGTTATCATATGAAAGGTCTTGTCACAAGAGTTAAATAATTATGTAAAGTATGAAAGCATTAGCCCTAACGATTTAAAAGTTACGGTCAATGTTTGCATTTTTTAAATTAGGTCAGTATCAAAGGTCGAGGTCAAAGGATCAAAATTCTTGGTATCCAATAAAGGGTCTTCTCAGAAGGATTACGTATATGAGGTGTGAAAGCCCTTTCCCTCACTGTTCAAAAGTTATGGCCAAGGTTAAAGTTTTTCTCACAAGTAAGGGAATCTACAAGGTCAAAAGGTCAAGGTTGTTGGTATCCTGTGAA